CGTGTTTAATTTGTATATTCTGAGATTTAAGCTACATTAGCTCGTGCTAGTGTCCTCCATGTCCATACGGCAGCTCACACGTACATAATACATATATAGAAACAATTCACTTCGCTGAAAAGTCTGAATCGATCCTCCAATTAAAATCAGATTACTCTGTTAAATAACATATATATGATGTAGCTACATGTTAAGAATTACCAAAAAAAAAGGTGAAAATAAATAATGTACAGACAAAGACAACAAGAAGAAAGAATATGATCTTCTCCCCTGCCTATCCAAAAAAAATTTGAAAATCTCCATCCCTCTGGCCATGTACGTACAATGTTGTTACGGTTTATTAACATTAGTAACTTGCCTGTGTCCGTCACCAGGACTAGGACCAGACTTCGAAGCCTCGCCTATAGATTGGAAGTTTTTGTATCCGTGCCCTATTCCAGGGCTTGGCCCTGAGTTCTTCACTGCTCGGGGAGAAAATCCTCCAATAAGACCTTCATTTTCTCCAACATTAACATCTTTACCCAGCCTTGAACTGCTCAAAGGCCGAGCTTCTGTCCCATAAACCAAGTTGCTTAACAAGAGCGAGAGAAGAAGAAGAAGAAGAACAGAAAAGACAGGAACAGATTTTAGTTCTCTGCCCATGTTAGATATGTTTAAGAACCTTGTGGTTTATATGACCTCGAAATATGTTGCTCTTGACTTTGTGTTGTTTGCTTGGACAATGAGGGGCAGGGTGTATTTGGAGTTGTATTTATAGGGCTTGAAAAATAGAATTTCGAACTCTCAAGCAAGTTTGGGAGCTGGTTTGACTAAGATGTGCTCCACTATTCAAAAGCATGTGAAGATTTGGAATTATTGGTATGCCGCCAAGCCACCATCTGGTTCATAGTATAGGGTACCATCTTTGGCGGATTCTTTGGAAAGCGAAATCTCTAATAGCTTTCAAAATTCCAACAAGCAAAGAGTTTGATTTCTAAAGAGGGACAAGTGGGGAAATTAAGGCGAGTCAAAATATAGAATTGATCAGGAGCTCAAAGGAAGTGTTGTTTAAGTCTTGGCTGAAGAAAACGATAGGGTGATATGCCACTTATATTTGAAGCTAGCTGAAGTTTTGGATGGAATTTTGTGATCTGATCAGGAGTTATCAACAGTGAAAATCTGGCAACTACTCGACAGTGATTTATATAAGCAACCTGTAAAGTCTGAGTAGTGGCATGGATAAACTTGGATCAGGCAAGTCAGGTGGTGGACCACGATGATCAAAAAGTTCGTGTAACTATTTACCTTCTATAACGACAGGAAAAATAGAGATCAAAACTTGTGGAACTAGCCAAGTTCTTTTGTTTTCATTCCCGTTTTCTACCGACTTTCAGGGGCTCGCTCGTGAACATCGAAGTGCGAAAGCATCAACCAGCTTTCTTCTTTTGAAAACTCGCTCTAAGTTTACCCGAATTTCTGTGTTTATTCAACTTTAAGTTAGCTAGACTGTTTGTTGCTTGCTATCTTAATTGGCCGCTATAGCTGATGGTGGAGAAATTTTTCTAATTGCTTGCTTGATTGATTGATTAGATGGGTAATTAATGGGATCTGTATCGCTCAATACTCATGTTCTAGCTTATGAGTATTTATTTTAAAATAATTTTTATTTAAATGTATATTAAAATAATATTTTTATTATTTTTTAAAGTTTATTTTTAATATCAATACTTGAAAATAATCTAAAAATTACACATAAAAAAATAAAATTCAAAAACTTTTAAGTGTAGTTGGGCTGCAATGCCAGCACCACCTTAATCAAATTGCTTAAGATTATAATGAAAATAAATTATTAATGATCTATAATTAATTTAACTGATGTTTATATTATTTTTTAAAACAAAATCTTGAATTTAAAAACTCACCGTTAACTAGCACCATAAACACTTGTTCATTGAAAAATTGCCAAATTTAAGGATTGAAATAAGAAAACGGAGGGTTGAAATCCTAATTAGAAAAATCAAGAACTCAGTAGTATTTTTTTGTGTTAAGTTATTGTGACAATTATCCTGTAACATTTCTTCAAGCAAGAAATTCCTGAAAAGAAGTGATCTTAAGACCAAATAAGCGCATACTTTTCCTGAGAAGTAGAGTATTTCTGAGCTGAAAACGAAACGCTCCAAACACTTCCATCATATAAAATACCCAAGTGGAAGATTTAAACGGTGGACTTCAATTCTTTTATACTATGAAATCTTTTGTGGCCGCATTCGTGTTCCAGTTGCGTGGCTTTTCAACCGTCCAATATGTAATTATTTGAACTGCCTATAACGGTCACAACAGCAAAGACTAATTAATGGTTAGTATTGGTCGCCAATCATGGCCATTACTACCATGACCACAAAGTTTGGACTTCGGACTTCAGCTCCTTTGCAAACAAAGGGGAGGGATGTTCCTGGCCTTGTAAATATACGCGCCAAGGAGACGACTGTTTAATAAATGTTTTGGCAGTAAACCTATCACATGGCGGATGCTAATCACGAAAAAAAAACAAATGTGCATTAGCCGTGGTTATTAAATTGACCCGGTAAATTCACTATTCAAAGCTAAATTATTTAGATTTTAATTTGATTTGGTTTTGATATTGACTACATCACATTCAGGATGACTCAATAAGTTGAATTATGATCTAATAAATTTGGTCAAATTCAGTCTAAATCCAGCTAGGTAAATTTTTCAAAAATAAATTATAACGATGCCATTTTGGATAAAAATAATAGATTCTGGTAACCTAGTAACCCATCATTTAATACGATGACTTACAACTTTACCAAATAATCTAATGACCTGGTTTTTAACCGAGTTAAATCTACATCCGGTCCAATAAAATTAGACAAACTTTTCTTAAACAAGTCGAGATTTGGTTCTGCTTTTTTCTTTTACAGCCCTAAGGCGGGCTCGCTTGATAATTACATGATATTTGGGGACTAACATGCCCTTTGCTTAGAATATTAGATCAACCGGATTCGGGTCCAAAGAATGACACTGCCCAAAAAAACAACTCGGAGTTTAAGAAATATGCCAAATTGCGAATAATATATGGCTTTAACAATAAACGGATGTTCTTATTTTAAATTTCAAAGATTTCCCAGGGCATCTGTAGCTTGTTGCACCGGGATATTGATGGGGTTGTTGTAACCCGTGGCAGTAAAGAAAACAGAATAGAAATACCATATCCAAATTAACATGCACTAAAAAGCGGAAAAGTTTCTTTCTTTGTTTTTGTTTTTTTCGAGGAAGAAAAGGATGGTAAGACCCTGCAACAGGAGTGGCAAATTGACAGAAGAGTTCTTTTCGTTCATCACAAAAAAAAGAAAAAAAGAAAGAAAAGTGTGGTCATTGTAAAATAGAAGAATCCTATATATTGGGAAAGGGAATGCAATGGATCATGAATAGACCAGCAGAGATTAGCTGGGTTCTTAATTTCTCGTCTCTCCTGTTCTTTAAATCTTTCAAACTAAGACTTGCAACTTCAACTACTGGCCTGCTAGCTGTGCCTTTTAATGTTGCCTTGTCAATTTCAAGGTATGAGCCCGTCCCATCAAGTTTTGAGCTCAATAGGATTTTGCATGATCTAACCAATGGCGCGCCTCGTGACCTAACTTAGATTCGAATTTCAATAAATTGGGTGAGGATCCATTATATATTTCTTACAATGGGAATCAAGATATATATCAAGCATTTACCGGCCCCTGGTATAGCTACATTAGATCTTCTTCCCCTTCCAACACTACAATGAAAAACTACCATTTCCACATCTTGTGTAATGGAAATAGAGATTTTCTTCTCATCATGCAATCTTCTTCAGGCCAAAATTATGATATAGAATTCTAAGATTTTGTCACTTAGCACGAGAAAAAGGAAAATAATTAGTTTCTAATTAATGCCCTTAATCCGCGGCGTTTGATAGCAAAAACCAAGGAATGATGCTGTTGTGTTTTTCGTAATGGTAAAGAAAATGTTACCAATGGAGGCCACATGCAGCTTAAAACAAGAAAATTGTTGCGTGGATAGTCAAAAGGGGGTTGATCATCCCAATAGGGCTATAAACACGGTGCCGCTTCATTTTAGAATTGGTGCATGAAACAACGAAAAAAAAATTATATTAATCATGGAAACAATGGGGATTTTGCTACGCAAATCTTGGTGTATATATAGGCTGTAACAAATGATACTCGGTCAAAAACCACCAAAACTTGTTTTCTATTGAAGAGCAAGGACATTATATATATATAGTTGTCAAATCCAGCTTGTGATGGAAGTTGTGCTTCATGAAAATTATTTTAGGGTTAGTTTGAAATTACATTTCAAACAATATTTTTAAAATATTTAGATTTTTTATATAAAATTACTTTTTATATTTTTTTATTATTTTAATATGTCCATGTCGAAGATAGTTTTAGAAGATAAAAAATATTTTTTATATTTTTTTATTATTTTGATATGTCTATGTCGAAGATAATTTTAAAAAATAAAAAATATTATATTAAATATAAAAATACTTTAAAAAATAATTTTATTATACTTCCACACATAGAAAAGATTATTAAAAAATACAGAAGAATTGGAGATTTCATGAACCAAAGAAAGCTGAGAAAGGAACTAGACGTCAAGGTTTAATTTTGAATGGGTTCGGTCCGCACCCGAAGGCTTAAAATTGCAAACATGTTAAAATTTGAGGATCGTCGGCCAGCCGAGAAAATTAGCATATTGCCTTTGCTTTATATTGGAAATCGGCAATTCAGAAATCATAAGACAACTTTTCAGCTGGACTAACTACATTCCATCTCGTGTCCTCCTAGATTCACGACCCTCTTGGATTCTCCAAGCTTCTTTAATTTGTTTTTACTGACAATTAACTTACCTTAAGTTTCCTATTTATTGCTCGACTCCAAGTTTCCTTGCATACACTTCCGCGAGCATTATTACTACTTGAAACTTCAGTTTTTTCGCATCTCTTTAAAATGTCTAGAAAACTAAGATCTCTATGCTTTCTGTACCTCTGGTTTAGCACTGTTCTTTTCCAATCCGAAGCTCGGCATTTGAATGGCTTGAGGGTGGCTAGTTCTTCCAAGCAATCTGGGCCAAGCCTAGGCGGTCCAGGCCACAGATCAGGAAATGCTCAGCTTCTTGGACCGCCTACAAACTCCGGTCCGAGTCCTGGTATAGGACACAAATACTATGCAGGCATGCACTACTAGCAACATTGCCGTTTCTAATGCCATTATTATTATTACTATTCCAATTTTTTTGCCATTATCAATCTTCTTACATGTTTAGAAATTCTGATCCTTGTAAAATTGGATGCTGGTTTTTTTCACTTCGTGGCAGAAGTGAACGGCTATTACTTCAGCGCTGTATGATTTTTTTTCCGGTTCAAATAATCTTACACGGAGCGATATTATGGTGTGTTACCCTGTTACCTTTTAAGGGAAATAATGTTTTTAAAAGATTATATTTGCATGCTGTCTTCTTTTATCTTTTATTGGTTAATGCATTCCTTGCTATATCAACAGTGCACCCGTTTATAATTTCAGCATCAGAAAATGACAAAGCAAGGTAGAGCAAGTCAGCAAGTGGATGTTTTCCATGCCATCTTAGGCTTCAATAGGCTTATCACGAAGTTCCGTTGATAATCCAATATATCCACGCACATCGACTCCTTTTTTTAAACTTGAGATTGTTTCGTCTTTTCACTTTTGGATGCACAGTGAGGTTTCTTAATTTCCCATTTTATATGTTAGGATACAAGTCTACCAAGATAAAAGATAAAAGGACGAAATAAAATCAGAAATGAAACATATAAAAATTTACGTTGTTTATTTAATTAGATTATTTTTACAAGTAAGTATAAAAAGATTTTATTAAGTAATGTAAGAATTACAACTTTTTTCAAATAATAAAAAAACAACTAAGAATCTCTCTATTATTAGGAGAAAACACCTCACTTACTCTATTATAAATACCTCATAATTTTATGAGATTATTTTTCCTCTCTCACTCTACTCTTCCTGTCTTATTTCTCTCTTGTGTCGTGCAAAATAACTTGAATGCATTATCTATTTATAAGCAAGCATCCAAGCAAAGGACAAGAAGCAAAGCAAGTGGCACCAATTGGTGCTGCAAGTGGCACGGAATTGGTGCCTACACTTATTGACTAAGGTGGAAAGGATGACTTCACCTTTTCCCACCATTGTTGACTTAGGTGGCTTCACATTATAAACTTGGAATTAAGGGTTTTTTTCCTATTTAATCGTAGTATTTTAGTTACAATTAAGTCAAGTCACAGATCATTTAGCATTTTAATAAATATAATAAATTATTTAAAAAAATTATTCACCAACATATAAGGAAGCTCTATACACTTCAAATGATACATGCGAAGGCATATAATGTTAGCAATTGATCATCGCCATCAACAATGGTGGAGAGAGGGGGGCTGGTAGGGGCCAGGACCCCTACAAGGAAATTTTTCCCAGTTTTTTTTATATAAAACAATTAAAATTTTATTTTTTTTAAATAACACCTTTAACTTAGCTCTTCTTTTTTTTTTTCTTACTTCGCCCCTAACCAGTGGCATTGAAATCATCATGGTGTCACTTTCTTGGGAAAGTGTTGTGTGTAGTGTTTGATGTTATAAAGTTTATTTTTTCTTCTTTTCTTTCTTTTTTTCTCAAAAAACAAGCTGTTTAATCAAAAGATTTATGTTGTTTTTTTATTTTGTTTAAATTTATAATTTATTCCTTTTACTTTTGATTGTTTGTTTTTTGTTTTGATTCTTTTCATAAACTTTAAATTTGTTTTTGATTTTTCTCATCATTGAAATGTTAATTTTCCTCTTATTTTATTTTTATTTTAAATTTGATCTTTTTCCTTTTAATTTTTGTTTTGATTCCTTTAGTAATGATTTTTTTTAATTTTACTCTTAAATCAAACCATATTATTTTTGTCTTATTGTATTTTTGTTTAACATTTGGTTTTCATTCTTTTATATAGGTAATTATTTTTAGTGGGCCTTTTGTCAAAAAAAAAATTCTACGGTTTTGTCCTCCAATACTAGATTTGTTAAGAATTAAGGGTTATGATTTTTTTCTGGTTGGTATACACTGGGCTCATGACTTAGGTTCAAGTTTGAAAACTTAACTCAGATAATATTGGCCTTTTTATACACTGATTTTCTTTTTCAATGTTATCCCTCAACACTTTAAATTTGTAAAGTGTTATTCCTATTATCTTCAATTTTAATTTTATGGAGTTATTATGCTCTCTTGATGTAAAACGTGAATTTGTCAGTGTAGTCAGGGTTTATTCTAGACTCTTTTTAGGTTCATTCTTTTTAAAATGGGTTTTTTTTTCCAGTTTCATTGTTCATTTTTTTTTATTTTTGCACATTTAGCTTCATAACTTTTGCTAGCTTGCCCTTTGTTTATGTCTCATTCGCACAATCCGAGTCACGGGATTTGGTAAGCTTATTGCATTTGTTGGCTTTTTTTTACTTTTAGTTAATTGATTTTTTTTCCAAATTAGTCCAACATTTAGTTTCTTCTTCTTTTTTTTTGTTGATTTTCTTCCTAACACACTCGATTAGATTGAAATTTATCTTTGCTGTTTTTTTTTTTTATCATGATCACTCTTATTTTCTTAGTTTGATCCATCTAACATTATTTTCTATTTTTATTATTATTTTATTAGCTAAGACAAGTTTATTTCACCCCACTAAGAGCCTATTTGGGAACGAGATGCAAACTGTATGTCCTTAAATTTTAAATTGTTTTGCTAAAAATTATTTTTTTATGTTTTCAGATCGTTTTGATATGCTGATTTTAAAAATAATTTTTTAAAAATAAAAAAAATTATTTTAATGCATTTCTAAGTGAGAACTTTGGTATTATGACAGCTTTTGTGGTTGTGTTATGAAAAAAGTTATTTTATAAAAAGTACTTTTAGTTGAGGTTGATATGGTATTTATATATGTTTGGTTAAAACTGTAGTTAAAATTGAGGTTGAACAAAAACTAGTTTTTAATGTATTTGGTTAATAATACTTTTTAAATCGAGGTTATAAAATAAGTAATATATATATTGATGCTTTAAATTTAAATATTATAGAATTAATTACTACTATTATATCATGAAATAAATAATAATTTATATAAAATATTTTTTATTATTCCATTTATAATTCCATTACGTACAAAATTCATCCAATAAGAACTATAGTTTCCATAATTTTTTAAACGTATAATAAAATTAGATAAAATATTATCATGTATAAAATTGATATTATAATGCGAGTAAATTTAATTCACTTTACACTAGTTTTTCAAGAAAAAAATATTATTCACATCACAATACGAGTAAATTTAAGAAAAAAACTATTAAAAAAATTAATACACTAAAAAAAAATTTCCAGGTGAACAATGCAATTCACTCGTCAACAATGCAAGGGAATTGTATTGTTCATTGTTTCAAGTGAACAATGCAATTCACTAGCACTGTTCACGTGAACAGTGCTAGTGAATTGCATTATTCACGCAGCGTTTTATGAACAGTAGCCACAGTAAAAGCAAGACAGAGTTGCTTCTGCTACTCTTGTGTTTGGAACGCAAATTTGTATGGGACTTAGGCAGTTAAAACTATGGTCAGCTGTTAACCAAACAGCTGGCAAATTAAAAACACACAAAACATTGACACTACTACATAACCAAATGGGGTCTTAATCTCAACCGCTACCACAATCTCAAACAGTTTCTAAATCAATGACTCAACCATAAATCTTTCTTACCTTTTAAAATACGTATGTGGTCTTGACATTTAACCACTTGAAGAAAAAAAATTCATATTGTGGGCCACGAGACTAGTAACCATAAATTAAAATACAAACAAATAAAAAAAATACTATTAGATAAGGTGTGGTGACACGACCAAAAGATTGTTGTCTTCTCCCAAGTACAGGAGTGTCGAAGTAATAAATAACCCGGCAAGACCGGGGTCGAACCACAGGGAGGTTAATTGTATAAATTATAAACAACAACAATAGTAACAACAACAAAAATAATAG